TGGGCAGATGCAAGGTACGAACGATCAACCCCCCCCCCCCCCCTCCCCCAACCCCAAATTATTCCCACAGTAACTCGTTCCTTTTTTGCGGTGATGTGAACTTCCAGCAGAAGGAGGTTTGGGGCTCGAGAAGAAAAGAGAGCTAACATTGATTAATTGATGAAATTTTTAGGCAAATACCAATTACAGGTTCTACCGGAAGCGGGCCATTTCATTCAGGAGGATCAGCCGGCCAAGACGGCGCAGATCCTGGTGGACTTCTACAAGAGGAATGATCGAAGTGCGTTGGTGCTGCCGCCCAAGGTGGCGGACATGCAGGCTCAGGCGGCCATGAACAAAGGGGACGGCGCTGGGCTAGGCTCCGGAGCTGGGGCCTTCAAGAGGGCTTAGAAGGTATATACGACTAGATTGTATGTCTTGTATGTTTTTTAAGAGGGTTTATCTGTGTATAGGTGCAAATTCAGGTATGAAGAAAAAAAATGTACAGACTATAATGAGATCTGTGTTGTTGTGTTCTCGTTTGTTCGCAAAGGTTCCCGCCCCAACATTGAAACAAAATGCTGCTTGCCAAATAAACACCAAAAGCCCGCTGGCCATTCCATTTGCGTTTTCCATCCAGGACGCCGCCAAATCATTCAGCCAAATCATTAACGAATACATGCGGCAATGCAATCAGGGAGGAAACAAGATGTCTCGACAAGAAAGCAAATTTGGGTGATAAAATTGAAATAAATAAAGATAAAAGATAAAGAGAAACGGGTATCTGGCGCCACTGTGCATGCAATTCACACAACCCTTCTCCTCCGTCGACCCCTTTCAAGGAAGATAAGCACCTCCAGCCATGATCAGATTCATATTGGTGAACTTGACCTTGTATACTGGACTTTTCTTGGTCGGGAACGCGCTGATCTGGTCAGGCGTTACGACCACATCCTTGCCCTTCTTCTTGCTTCCAATGCCAGGTCCGACGGAGCTGGAGGCTTGTGTGCTGGCCGCAGGGGGATTGCCGCCGTCGACCTTGGTTCCTGCGCCGCCCTCACCGACAACCCGACCCTGAGACGGATCCTGTGCAGGACCAGCCACGTCCCAGACGCGGACGGTACCGTCAGCACCACCAGAGACTAGAATATTCGATTCGACGCTCCAGCTGAGGGACCAAATGCCACCCTTGCCATGACCGCGCATGCGCTTGAGAAGTCGTCCTGGGGCCAGGTCCCAAAGAAGGATCGACCCGTGGTCGTCGGCTGATGCGAGGAGCTTTCCATCACGGCTACACGAAAGAGCTGTGATGTTTCCTGTGTGGCCAGTAAACATACGGACGGCATTTCCTGTAGTCACGGCCCACATGCGCACGGTGTGATCGGAGCTACCGGTGAAGATATACGCCGAGTTGGGGTGAAAGCAGACGCAGTCGACATCCTGGTCGTGTCCGACGAAGATACGTTGTTGACGAATGTGGTCGGTGACCCAGAGGCGAGCGGCCTTGTCATGGCCACCAGACACGAAGTAGTGACCGAATGGGCCCCACTGCAAATCCCAGACGGGCTGATCGTGGCCCTTGTAAACTACCATGCATTGCCACAGATCCAGGGACCAGAGACGGATAGTTCGATCGGCTGATGAAGAGAGCAACCAACGGGCATTAGTCGGCGCAATGGCATTGTCGGCACGCGTAATAGAAGGCGCGAATGCTACAGAGTAGACGGGTCCAGCATGCCCAATTAGGCGACGAGAATTTGAGGGCGCATCATCCACATTGTCGTACGTCGACTGGATCTTCTTCCCATCCATGCTCCAGACCCGAATATAAGACTCCTGCATACCAGCCGCAACGAGCATAAGGTCATCGGAGAAGTCCAGGCAGTTGACGCTGTGTATAGTCAGTCGCGGGACATCATAACAAGCCCGAAGGTAGTACCACTCACCCATCGTAGGTATTATGGAATGTAAACATGCAGACACTAACGGCCGGCCCAACACCACCGGTTCTACCTTCGATCCTAAACCTGTCGCGGTTCTCTTTGACCTTTTGAACCTCGATCGCGACATCTCGAGCGGTTGATGGGGGATAGGGGATATCAGCGCGAGTAGGTGCCTCTTCGTCGTCCTCTTTCTTGATCATCTGCTCAAACTCTTGGATCAAAGTGTTTTGGCCCGGGCCAGGAGGATGCCTGGCGTCTTCGTCCGCGAGCTCGCCGCGTACATCAGTCTCCAGGGTCGACTCAAGTGGTAATTTTCCAAGCTTCAGTCTAGGCAAGGTTCCGGCCATGTTCGGGTTATCTCCGGTGTAAGCAGACCCGGGGTGGTGACCAGGAATACCCTCATCTTCGCTGGGAAAGATCTGGGTGCCATCACTTTGGCCGAGCATCGCGGCGAAACTAAATCGGTCGTCGGAAGTGCGCTCTTTTGTGATAATGGTACAGTAACTGCTCAGGATGGCAGTCATATCAGATCCGCCCTCCTTCTGCTTGCTCTCCAAGAATTGCATCAGGTTTGAGAATGCCGGGTTACTCAAGACCAAGCGGTACTTGTTAGTTCTATAGAGCTTGGCAGTAGCGTTGTCCTGAACATGTTCTGGGAGACTGATTGGCTCCAAAGCGCGAACATCTTCTGTGTGCTCCGGCAAGAAGAGGTTCTTGTTCATGTCGAAGAATTGTTTCGCCTCTTGAGGCTTAAACGAGGACACCATGTTGATGAATGTGTAGACAAAGAGCGGCCACAGCACACGTCTGAGTTCAGGCTGTCGAGGGTTTGTAAGCATTATTCATCTGCAGGCCTTAGTACGAAGAGCATACCTTGTACAGATCCAAGTTATCTTCAACCCAGACCTTCAGCAGATCTATAACAGCATTAGACAAATTAGAACAAGAGTAGGACGAACTTACCGAAGCCAAGCCGGTACTTAGGACGCGCATCTTCGCCAAGAGGGGGCATAGGCGGGCGGCCATCAATCTCTTGATGCGCCGATTCTATGCGCAGCATAGCCTCTGTGCGACTATAGCCTTTCTTGGCCAAATAGTCAATGACCTGGTTTTTAGACATTTGTGTCAGTATTTCACGAAGCACCGATCATGACTTTGGCTGATATCAACCAATATAGATATCACAGCAGGAGCCTTCCTAGTTGAAGAGGCGATGATACCCAGCAACACTTGAAGCCCAAAGGATAACCAGATTCAAATGTTGAACAGCTTCTCTAGCTTGTCTCTCTTTGTGAAAGCGGCCGGTGGACGGTAAGCAATTTGAGGCACCTTCACGGCACCTTCACTGCACCTTCACTGCACCTTCACTGCGACATCTGCGAAGTGAATGCACGACAACATGCCTGAACCCGCAAGAACCACCTTCCGCGGCACAGGACACAACAGACCCAGAAATGAGAGACGAATACGTACTATTTGATTGAGATTTTGCTGCGACATTGGACCCCCCGGCGGCGGCGGCGGCGGAGCAGGGGGGCCAGGCGTCACAGGGCCGGTGTTGGTCATGGGTTGTTGAGGAGGCATCGACATCCCACCTGGACCGGGCCCCATACTTCCACTTCGGGGAGCTGGGCTCGGGGCCCCGCCTGGCGCAGACATGGCTGCTGGATGATCTGACAAGGGTAATTCAACAGTGGGGGGGGGGCAAGGGGGGGCAAAAGCTCCTATATGCCGAGCAAAGGAGGTGTCCAGTTCACTAAAGCGAAAGATGCGACGGCGCTCAGAAGAGACTAGCAAAGAGAGAGGAAGAGACCGACACGCGGACAGGGAGGGAAAGCAGTTCGGGATGCGATTCAATCCGGAGGTTTTGCGAAGTCCGCAGCTTAAGGACACTATCCCTTTTGTGAATTAGCGTATGGCTGGCCCCTGGTCCCATCACGTGATGATATGCTATGCTCAATCATGGATAGAAGCACAGGAGCCCCGTTTATGCACCTATCGTCATCAAAGAGCAATCACTGGCATATTGCTGCATTTCACCCTGTGCCTGACACTGCCCAGAGCACCATGGCCGAGTCCGGCAACAATTCTAGGTCTCCAGACCAAATCTTCACTTCCGCCGATCGCATTCGGCAGCTTAATGAGATCGACAAGGTAAGTAAGCTACCTACCCTCTGGAGAAGCGAGAGCTGCGACAACGTGCATCCTACTCGAAGATGAAACTCAAACTACTCACTACTCGCACTGCAATACTATCTGAGACCGTGTACTAAATTGGACTTGTGTTAAGGATGTCGCTCAATTGATTCACTCCGCCGGTCTCGCTATCCAAGCCCTTACTAACGCCCGAACCACCGACTCACCTGCTGAGAACAACTCCTTAGCCGCCCACAAAACACGCTTCAAAGAGGCCACATCGCAGTACTTTGCGCTTCTCTCGTCCATTGATGTCCGACTGCGACGACAGGTGTACGCCCTCGAGGAGGCCGGGATTCTCGCGCCGGAGACGGCCGCGACCGCAACGAACCCCCGCACAGGCGAGTTAGCCGGGGCTGGTGCGGCAGCGGCGGCCGCATCGTCAAACCCGTTGGATGTGAGCTGGCTTAACAGTCGGAAGGACACGGTCGGGAAAGATAAGGAGGCAGAGCTGTGGGCTGCGGCAAGGGAGTTTGTCGAGCAGCTCGCTCGGCACGGGCCTTCGTCGGCAACCGCTAGACATGAGTTGAAAACGGAGGGTGGGCAGGAAGACATTGAGATGGACTGATGAACGATAGTCTGAATGAGGCACACGCATGCTTTTGAGCAGATGTTATCGATTCCTGCATTCGGGTGTCGACGATTGGAGGATCGCAACAACCATTTGCGTGGACAATGGTTTGTTAAAAGTACGAGTCTTATGATACCCAAGCTTATTTATACAATTGTGTTGATTCGCACGACGAAGCTTTGAGCCATTGTTAGGCTCAAGTAAGATCTTTACAATAAAAGCGCCAGAGTCAAACTAAGATCGGCTCCCCAGGAACCTTAGAACTACATACAATTAAGTGAATGGCAAACTCGCGGGATAGAAAGACGAACGTCTAGGTGATGTTGACAGGTTAAACATCCGCTTGCTTTTACAACTCCAAGCAATGAATGTGGCTACCGCTGCATGGATCTGATCATCTCGGCGTGATTAGCCCGCTCCTTGTTCGCCTCTGTCAAGGACGAAAGACCTGCAACACATTAGTATTATGGTACCATGCATCCCTGCAGCAGGAGAACTCACTGCGCAGTTCACCGACAACATCCTTGGCCTTGCCAAAGTATACCTCCTCTGCAATAATGTCCACATTAGTCTTCATCCCGTAATGTATGCGCTTGCGTCTGGGCGCAGAGAAATTGAAACACATACGCAGCAGGTTTCTCATCTTCAACTCCATATCCTCCACAAGCCGGCCGACGTTTGCAACGTGGCTTGCATCCGACTCAACGGGCAGATCGACCTCGACCTGGCGGGTCATGTTACCGCTGAGGTCCATCTCACCCAGAGCCTCGGACTCGTTCGCCAGGTGGAGGATGACCGTGCTGGTCAATTTGTAGTGGGACATGCGAGCTCTGTCAGTAGCCTCGAAGACGTGGATGCTGTCCCACTCTCCCGAGCTCTTCGCACCAGGGGTGACTCCTATTGCCGTACCACATCGCGTTAGCAACGAGCCCGACCATCATTTTGTCCATCTTCCTGTAACCAAGCTCCACGAGTCCTCCGCTTTTTCAGTATAGGACATAGAAGCTGACGCACCTTTCTTGAGAAGAATCACACCCGCAAACCCATCATCCAAGTCCCAGAAGTAGACGCTCCCCACGCCGCCCTCGTAGTATAGCTCCCGGTAGACATCGAAGGCCTCGTTAGCAGCAACCTCGAGCTTTCTCACCCGCTCACTGGGTACCGTTCCGTCATCGAGAGGGGGGTCGAATTCGTTGCTCCAGGGTGACCGGTAGCTGTCGCCATCCCGGTTGTAGTCGCAGAGCAAGTAATCCCGGTTGGTCTTGGGGCAGCGGCGGACCTCCAGGGGCTGATCAACGGACGATAAAAGATCCTCGGTCAGGTCAGGGACAATGGTGGTGATTGCTTGCAAGTTCTGCTTGGTATCGCGGGGGTTGAGGCGCCGGAGCAGGTCCCTGGGAGCAGCACGATGTTGGTGGTCAGCGGGATGCTGCAAGCGGGGTTGCACGGCGAGGGGTTGACCTTCGCCGATGCGGACAGAGAGGGGAGCTTGCTCGGGGGAGTTGGAGAAAGGTGAAGTGTTGAATGAAGGGCTCAGCTAAGACACACTTACAGCGCACTATCATATTGTGCGTCAGCCATGATTGTGACGGGTTGTTGGAATTCAATACTGTAGTAGTGTTTAGGTTGCTGTTTACTTCCCAGTTACCTTTCAAGCCCGGGGGAGACCGGACGGACCTCAGCTGTGACGGTGGATTACTGTAAGCGGTGTAGCGCGGCTGGTTGGAGAAAGCGGGTCGATTGAGGCCTCCCTCCCCCTTATCACTCCACCGAGTATATACTTTGACTTGCCTTGTCCGTGCTTGGAAAGAGCCTCAACAAAGCTCTGCTTCAATAAGAAAAGGTCCTGGCTTTTATCAAGGCAAAGATAGGCAAGTGGAAAGCGATCAAGTATGATTTCTCGAAATATCCATCTGTGTCTAGAGCAGTGCGTTGACGACTCCCCAGCTACGCTAAAGTATCGCACCGAGGCTATTTCCATTGATACCACCACCGGAGGCATATTAGGTAGCCGTATGGAATGCCGCTCATCGCTTCTCGCCGGGTAGATACTGCAGTTTCCAGTGCTTGCAATTCTTAATTCTTAACAAGACAGTTTCATGTGCACGTAATTATCTCGAACATGGTGACCTAGAGATCCAGACTAGACCAACCAGCTTCACTGAGACTTTCTGTGGCTTCCAAGTCATGATGCTGCGAACTCTTCAACAATCAATTCGTGTGGAAACCCGCTCGGCTGGACATGGTATGTTGGAAGGACACAAACTGACATTGGACGTCTCAAGATGCAGGCTGAAGCAGGCATCAAGTTCATGGTCGAGCCAGGCAGTATGGTATTCGTCACGCTGAGTGAGCTCTCCATGGCCCACTATGGGAGTACATTGCAGGGTCATACAACACTGATGCCCAAGGCGGAAAAGGGTAAGCCAGCCTTTTCTATCAATCGAAGGGTATATCCTGCTGAAAAGTATTGTCCAATGTGAACGGACACTTAACCAAATAGAAAAGTCCACCATCAAACGTCGCTATCATCGCTCATGACGAATTGGCGGCTCCGCCGCTTTCTCTCAACGCTTCTGTCCAAAAGAGTAGACATGTCAGGGAAGTCTTCACCCATGTCCTCCGTCATTTGTGAGCAGAATAATGAATCGTCTGCCGCTGTCTCTACAGCCGAGAGCTGTTTCTTCGAATTCCTTGGCGTTTTATCTGTGCCATCCCCTTCCCCATTTGTCTTGCGTTTCACGGGGAGAACAAAATCGGATACTGTGCGCTGGATCCGCCTGGCACCACACTCACGGCTGCTCATGTCGCCGGTGGTGCCTGGAATATCCTCGTACTTGTCCGGACTCAGCGCTAAGACACGCCTATATTGCTGCTCACAGTCCGCGGAAATCTGATCCATTTTCTGCAGAGTCCCAATCATGCGGCGAGTCAGAGACCCATGCTTTACTGCTTTAGTAGGCCGAGGAGCGAGCTGAAGGCGCGGGAAAGCGTCAGTTCGAGGATTGCAGATTGACGGTGCATCGGACTGTCCTGCCTTGCCGTAATGAACATCAAGCTCGTTTTGCTGCGCTGGAGTAAGCAGGACATCTTCGAGCGCTGGGAGATCAACGGGCTCCGGAGTCGGCGTGCGAGCCTTACTTTTCTTTGCTTCCCTACGCTTGCCGCCTTCAGCCAAGCTGGACGCTTTCGTGAAGCCTGTTTCCACATTGTCCGGCATGTGGAACTTTTTGGGTGGCCTCTTGGGAGGGCGTCCTTTTCGCTTGGGCTCAGGTAGCTCTCGCACAGTGTTCTCTTCGGGTATTTCAATCGCCCGTTTATCAGCTACAGGCCGGATCCCCAAGGGAAGGATACGAGGGGACTGGTCTTCATGAAAAGTAAATCGGGTGCCGCTAGCAATCATCTGTTGCATCTTCTCGTAATTGTCCTTGGCCTTGATATAGGACTCTTCCTCCTTGCCTTGCATCAGAAGCAGCACAATGTTACCCGCTCGCTTTCGACCGGTACGTCCCATGCGTTGAAGCATGCGAATTGGTGACGCGGATGAATCGTAACAAACGATCAGGTCGACCTCGCCGATATCCAGACCTTCCTCACCTATTGAAGTTGCAACGATCGTGTTGTAAGTGCCGCTCTTGAACTTCTGCACAATGTCGAGTTGAGTTTTCTGGTTCATTCCTTCTGAGCCCTTGGCGCTACTCTGTCCGACAAAGACACGGGGCCGAATCATCGGCTCGTACCTTTTGAGGACTCGCGTCACCTCTTCGGCGCTGTCCCGGAAATGCACGAAGATCATGACTCTGGTTGCTGGTTTCGCCTGGTCATCGCCTGTGCCCGCACCTTCGCCCGCGTCCATGAAATGATTCAAGACAACCTGCTTCAAGTATTCCAGCTTGGGATGGCCAATGAACTCTGGGTTCTTAGTCCATGGCTGCAAATGGTTCATAAGTTTTTTGAAACTTTCATCTTGGACAACTTGTCGTTGATATTTGCCACCCTTCTGCCCTTCAGTGTTGGACTGAAAATGTGCAAGGTGACGGTAGAACGGAGTGATTCCGTGATATTTCAAAAGGTCGATTCCATGGGCAAGGCTGGCAAGAACGCTGAAGATAGCATTTACTTTGCCCTTCAACCCGAAATGTGCATTCCGACCAACGTCTGACATCATCCACTGCTGTCTGGCTTTTGTCAGTCCGAATGCCGTAAGTCCCATAGGATCACGGCCCCAGTAAGCATTGAGACTCCGAAGCTGATCAACTAAAGGTTGGAGAGTCTTCGTTAATAAATCCATGCACAGAACCATTTCCTCGGAATTCTGGAAAGTTTGCACCTCTATGTCCTTTGCATGAACATATTCCCGGATATCAAGGGATTGTTCCGTGCGGATCTCAACTCGGGAAATGTCCAACCCATCAATTACTGCCTGGACGGCTTCCACCGTGGAGCCAGGCGTTGCAGTCAAAGCCAGGACACGGAAACTTTGATTGTAGCGTCGAAGAAATTTAACAACTTCCACGTAGGCATACCCTCCTGTGGCGCGATGCGCCTCGTCTACAACAAGCAAAACGATGCGCTTAGGATCTGCAATCCCGGTCTTGAGATCATTGACTAAGGTCTGAGGGGTCATGAAGAACACGCGTTTAGCCTTCCATTCCTCAGCTCTGATGCCAGGGGCAGCTTCGCCGGTGAGCATTGTGGTCTGGGATCGTGGAACTCCTGCAATTTGAAAGCATGCGTCTATCTGTTGAGCGACTAGCGGTTTCGTAGGAGCGACAAACACGATCTGAGCGTCTTTGGTCCATCGTAGCCAGTTTAACATGATAGTGGCTGCGATAAAGGTTTTGCCTAGACCAGTGGGCAGCGCAACGAGCAGGTTATGAAACAATCCTTTCTGGGCGATGTTGAACTGGTAATCTCTGGATTTCCCCAGATTGGTGGGATAGACCCATGTATCTAGAGATTCCTGATTCAATTTGTGTTGTGTCGGAGGCTCGACCTTCTCGGGTGGTGACATGAACTGCTCGCCACGCGGGGGCTGGTTTGCTGGACTCCGGACTGCCATGTCAAATAAAGTCGTCTGCCGAACACCCAGTGGACGATTGACACTCTGCGTAAAAGTGCCTGATACCGGTCGACCATGAGTTGGGGGAGGAGACAAGGATAGATCGGAGTCAAAAGCATCATCTGGTATGTCGTCTAGAAATTCTGCAGGAATATCCATAGCATCGCCTGTTTGTTCACTTGAGGAGCGATCCACCGATGGAGGCTTCAGGTGATTAGAAGCTGTCTTGTGAGACATTTTGGAGCTTTCTTCTTCGAATGATTGCAACGAAGCCTCAATGGCCGCCTTTAAGGCGTCATCATCTTCAAATTCATCATTTGTCCCATCACCGCCGCCTCTTCCGTTGACTGCGTGTGTTGCCGGAACATTCGTTGGGGGTGGTAACTCGGGGTCTGGCTTCTTCCAACGCGGGCCTCGAATCATTTCTGGAGGTGATTGAGGCTGCGTGAGTTGGGTGACGAAGATGTTCTCCTGGACATTTCTGTTCTTTGGCACGAACAGTTTATACTTGGAATGCGCCTCCGGCTCCTCAGAATCGCGGAAGTAATGTGATGCTCGTTCTGGAGACTGTAGATCCTCGTCCTCGTCTTCGCCAGAGTCAGGCGAAGTCTCTCGCGTGTCAGGTCGGTCACATTGATTCTTTCGCAGTGATAGGTTCTGCTTGTTGGCTTTCAGGCGACGGCGCTTGGCCGGCCTGGGAGAATCCCGTTTTGTCGGCGTGGCGGCGGCATCAGAGTCATCGTCAACAACGAAATCTCCGAGATCATCATCGAAGTCGTCGGAAGAGGCCCCTTCCAGGTCAGACATGTCGAACCCAACGTGGTTCGTTGGGATCAAAGCCGCCGCAGGTTTGAGCTGGCCATATTCAAACGCGACGCGTCGGATCGCAATCACATGTTGGCTTAGTCATGAAATGTTCATGATTTCCTAATTTGGCGTAACCGCTCGTCCTCCGCTCAGCTTCGATTCAGCGGAAAGGCTCAGCTCCGAAGACGAAAATCCCATTTTGTTCCGAGGCAAAGGTTGTCTAGATACCACTGGTGAGGTGCACTGACTATTGTGCTTTTGGTCTGTTAACGAATTCAAATTCAATTTACTGAAGTCGCATATACACCCCACTCATGCTGTGGAACTTCGCCAGACGCACAGTGAGAGTCTCCTCGGCCACAAGCGATGACCACGAGTGGGATAGAGGGTTCTTACAATAATTTAGTTATCTACTGAGTGCTAGAAATTTCCGTCGGGTCTTCACAATTCAGCATTGATGTTCTGGGCCACATTGAATCAAGGGACCCAACTTGGGGTGGATTATCCATTTAGCGTGCTCACTAAAACAACCAGAAACAAAACAAAACAAGAACATAAGTAAAGCACGAGCCAGAATGGCGGACAAGGCAGTTAGTTGCCTTGCAGCTTTCAGTAGTCAGTAAATCAGACTAAGCTAACTAGTTATTCTGTACTGGGTACGGAGTACTTTAGCACTTCGCAATTGCCACCGCACTGGGAAACATAAGGAGTAGAAGATCAAAACTCTGATGTGTGTGGGTGTGCCATGTCCGGGGAAATTCAGGATTTGATAACTTGGCCAGACAGCACCTGAAGATCCTGTGGTGTAACGCCGGGTTCAATATTTTGTAGGGATGAAAGAAGGCAGCTCCAATCAATCTGGGGGGTCTTGGGGTAATGGAGACCAGGAGCGATCCGTAGTGTTGCAGCCACGGAACTTTAATCGCCCTTTTCATTCTGTGAGCAGTCTTGTGGTTGCTCGTAAGGAGACTACACTGTAAGATTATTATTAGGATCTCTGCACTATGCAGGCTGCAGGCTGCACTCCAGAGATCTTTGACAGACCTTTCCGCATGACCTTCACTCACTGCCACTGCCACTGCCACGAGCAATCAATCAGCTCATTGTTCTGGCTCAAATTGGCCAAGCGAAGAGCCGGGCTTATCAGCGCCCAGTTTCTCTCCCTGGGTGTGGAGTAGCCAGCGAAGAGGCGGATAAGAGCTTTGAGCAATGAGTGGACGCAGAACGAGACTAAGGAGGACTAAAGTCGGACTAACAGCGACGGTAGTGCCACTCCAGGGTTATTTTTGGGGGCGATCCCTCCTTGAGAGTCATTTAGACTGCTTGGACTCTGGAGGAGTCCCCAGATTTTCCAAGGGTCTGTCCACCCTGCGCGCTTCACCGGGAAATTGTCTCCTTTGAGTGAGAGCAAAGTGGACTTGAAGTGGAGTTTTGAGCCGGGCTTCTTTTAGATCCGTTCGCGGATTTGGGGCCACTTCCGTCACTGAATTCTGGAGTAGTAAGTCAGTCAGTCAGTCACTTGAAAGAAGAATCTCTGCAGATTATTGTAGATAGCAAGGGCAAGCGAAAAGACAGACTTAGGGGTAGGAGAAGCAAGCATGGGGCCGTCGAAATTGCCACTAATGTAAGGGTGAGCAGGACTGCGCAGGACTAATCAGTTCAGTCAATCAGTGAATTCAGTCCGTCAGGCCGTCGGCTAGTCGGGTGAGGCCGAACAGCGCATCTTAACCAAGTTGTTGCCAAAAGAGTCGTGCCACTGGATGTGAAGGAGGCCAACCACTGGCTGAAACCCCGCTAATCACTCTCAAGTGAATGATTCGAATGGACTTAACAGGCACTAAATTCAATTTCCCGCCACTGTTTTGTTTTTCCTTTTTGTCTACTTCGTACTTCTATCTTCTTCTTCCTCTCTCTCTCCTCTTTCTCTTCTTCTCTTCTCCTTCTCTTTCTCCTCCTCAACAGTCTTTCGTTATTCCATACTTTGCGCTCGCTCGCTCCTCGCTTCTTTCGGGCTCTCAAAAGTAAACCTAACGTCTGTCTCTACATCAATCACATCTATTGTCAAGATGAAGTTCAACAGCGCTCTCGCTCTCTCCTCCCTCCTGGTGCTCGCCGTGGCCCAGGACACCAACTCTACCTCCACTGCCAGCGCTGCCACTGCGACTGCCAGTCTCTCTGCTCAGGCCAAGTGCGCCGAGTCCTGTACGTATACATCTCTACGCGAATCATCTCCTCTCTACCTTCAATTGCCTTAATTGCGCATCTGCCCATACACACTATCCTTTCGTCTTCCTTGACTGCAGAACCAAACCATAGTACCACCCCCATTCTAATCCACTATACAGGCGCCTCCAGCGACATCTGCTGCATTGCCAAATGCTACAATGTTCCCTGCCCCAACGACTCTCAGGCCAACGACACCACCAGCTGCGTTGCCGCCTGTCCCCAGGGTAACGGCTCCACCAGCGACACCGACGCCTACGCCAGCTGCCAGAGCCGTTGCGTGAGCAGCTACTTCTGGTCCAGCGCTACTGCTACCGCCGGCTCCTCCGCCAGCACCGCCAGCTCCAACGATGGTACCACCACCACCGGCAGCGGCAGCAAGTCCTCCTCCACTGGTTCCAGCAGTACGTTATCCCCCTTTTTGTTTTCCCTAGTGGCATGACCGGTTTACCTGAACTCATGACACTAACTCACGTTTTCCCCCCTACGCAGAGTCTGGCTCCTCCAAGTCCGGCTCCTCGGACTCGACCAGCACCGCCACCAGCACCGGCGCCTCCTCCAGCGAGACCTCCAACTCGGCCGCCATCACTCAGCTGAAGATGGGTGTCTCCACCGTTGGACTCCTGGGCTTCGTCCTTGCCGCCTGGGCTCTGTAAATCTCTTCCGCTTATAGAACGGAAGCGAGATGTCACAGAAGTTTCTTCCAACCAACAACGGCACACGAACGTTTTTGTCTCAGTACATATGGGAAATTGAATGAATGAGGGCGGGCAGGAAGGGAACCATGATTGATATTATTTTGCACTCTAATGGGATATCACACTTCACACACACAGCACCCCTTGACTTACTTGCACTCTTGCACACACACTTCGTTGATGTTGTCATAATAGCTTACTACTACCTTGACTGTCTGTCACTAATACTACCCACAAGCGCTTGCTTCAATTAGCAGAATTTAGTATTATTGTATAACAATCATATCTGTGTTGCAGCTTGTCCTATCTTGCCTTTGCCTTTGCAAGTATAAGTGCTGTTCTCGGTATCATTACGGTACCTGTTTCCCAGGTTGAAAAGAGGTCGAGCGCCAACCCATTAGCCCACAAGATTCAGGTGCCGTGCTGTACTCCCAATACCACCATGATTTCATCACAGAAGGCAAACCAGGCGAGTGAGCAGCATGGACAGTTCACAAATGACGAACGATGACCACAAGTGCAGGCAGGCAGGCAGGTGGTTGTAGTGTAATATGTTGTGCGTGGTGCCCCAATCTGCGGTGGATCGGTTTAGTCTGTGTCGATCATGAATGGGTCTACACGTAGCTCGACTCCACTGCTGTGAGACTGCTGCCACTCATCATAGGGTGGTTGATTTGGTGACTACACATCTCTCCACACGAGCTTCCCCCGCATTCTTCAGGTACAAGGATGATTAAAGTTTCAATGTCATTCCACGAATCGACCTCAAAAGTATCAACACAAAATAAAATCTCTCCAGGTAAAGTCGACCCACGCTGGCAAGACGCATACAGGAGTCAGTGCCCGAACAAAGTCCTTATCTATCTGATTTGAAGTACAGTATTGAGTATGAAACACAGTTCAGAGTAAATGTCACCTCGCGAGAGGAGCAGACAGGGCGCCGGTATAAGAGCAGCAAACGTTCATATGGATGCAATGATTGAATCCAGCTCCGGACTTTGGTCAACGGTCCTGCCATCCAAATTGTTCATAACCCCTGAGCAGGAAAGGATCGTTGACTCTGGTGCAGGCGTGGACGATAATGCTATAGGGTAATATGCAATGGGCATTAGTAAAAGCGGAGAAGAGTGGAAATCAAAATCCCAAGCACGCCAACGCCCATTCCAATGTAATGTCTAGATAATTGTAGATTAGTCCAATCATGAAGATGCCACTCCAAAACATCATGTTCGGTCACTGTTGATGTCAGACCCGGTCTCGCGCAAAATCCAGGACTTCACAGTCATCCTCAAAAAATCCATCGTCAACTCCATTGCCCAAGGCCAAGGCCGAAGTGGATTTCTTCTTCCGACGGGTTGTAATTACCACTTCTTCAACGTTTCCGGTACTGTTCCCGAGGCTGATCAAATTCTCCATTTCCCCACCGAAGCCCTGGTGGTTCTCTTGCATCATGTCGTCCTCGTCGTCTTCACTGTGGGAGCTGAAAGGACGGACGTGGAGCTTGGACGTCGGCAAAGAGCCTCCAAAGACCCACTGACCAGTCGGGACCGATGTCTCAGCGTCATTCATTTCGGAATAAACAAAGAGGTTTACCCTCTGGTCAGTGTGAAAAGGCTGATATGGCGTGTTGGTCTCAATTTCCGCCTGCGAGAGGGGCTGAGACTTGAGCTTCGATGACGCAGGGGGACGGGCAGTGGAAGAGGGCAAAGCCAGAGTAGCCCAGACATTGATTTCTGCGCCAAGAGTCCCAACGGTCAGAGGACCGCAAGGTGTCTGCAGAATTGGAGGTAGTCGAAATTCCAATGCCTTTTCTCCAATCGCTGACTGCAGCTGCCGATTCCGATTGGCGGACACCGAGCGCTTGATTCGATATAGGCGGAAGAACCCCCCATCTAAAAGCCCCAGGAAGGGCATGCCCTTGCTGGTTACCCAGGTTACACGGGATGCAACTGGGTCACGGGAGAGCCCGGACAGATGCAGGCGATGCTCGCCGCCATGTCGAAATGTATTGACTGTTTTGACCGTGCCGGTCGCGGCGGCTCCCATTGATTTGCTCAGACCAGCGGCAACGGCCTTGCCACTAACACCAGCAGTGGAAGGAATCGTGAATCCACCCATCGAGTTGAAGGCCGCACCAGTCGAAGGTGCACGACCCCTCACTGCGGCAAGAATGGGCTGTGTCTTACCTCCAACCATTTTGAAGGCTGCTGACAAGGGATTTGCGGCGGCCGCCCGGTCAGGCAGTTCCTCGGCTGGAAGATCATTGGTAGGGGCCTTGGTAGGCTGTGGTCTAGCTCGACGGAAAGGGGGCCACTGGAAAGCGGATCGTGGCAGGTCGAACACATGCACCGTGGGCTTACCGGTGATGATTGCAAGTTTGTCGCCGGACGGAGGACACCATACCACGTCTATAATGCGGGATGCTGTCAACCGCGAAAACCTCGCGACCTGCCGCACGCTCGGTTGCGCAGATGTGGGGTCGTCGGAGAGTAAAGCCCCTGCCCGGCAATACTTCGCCTGCAGAAGATCCCAAACATACTGAACGTCTCCCTTCTTACTCACGGTAAGCAACATCAGGCCATTGGGAGAGAAAGAAAGAAAGCTACAGCCATTAGGCACTTGAAATGTGGTCATGGAACCGAACAAAGCGTTCTTTGTCTCAGTGCCCTCTTCTAGTCTCTGTAAGTCCGTCACTGAAACTAGATCCGGCTCAGCAGGGGATGCGGTCTGGGTTTCCTGAGAGTGCGTGGGGGGAAAGATGTTGTAGCCCTGCGGTGAGAAATCCATCAGGTTAGGAGATCGACGTGATGAAAAGCTTTGTGCCTGTTCTTTGTTCCAGTAATTGTTCCAAGCTTGCAGTCCCTGATCACCCATCCAGCGAGCACCACGCATAAGCTCTTGTGTCACGCCTCGGGCGACTTTGCCAAAGAAACTCTCGCCCTCGCCGACGTCAGTAGCGCATGTTATTACTGGTCGGGACGGCGGGCTACGAGTCTCAAGCCCAATAGTCTTTCCCTGTAGGAGAGATGCAGGAACCGTTGCACGAAGGGATGCTCTGTAAGTGGTTGACGGGGGGACCGTAGCCAACCACCTTCCTCTGAGAGATATGATCGGGTTGTCATGGTTGGAAGGTCCATGAGGTGAGTCGGACTGCGAACCATCCGGATCAGTGGAGCTAGAGGAGGTCGAGTATCGTCGAGATTCCTTTGACTGGATACTCGTCCAAATCTTGCCGAGACACTGATACCTGCCTATGCCGTAGGTGTAGACTTCTCCACTCGACCCAGATGCCACAACAACGTAACTGCCGCTAGCATAAAGCTTCAGGTTGCCGACAGGCGGCGGAGCCAAAACCGGCATCCCTGGAATATTGCCAAAGCACTGGACCGGCGGTGTAGTCAGAAGCGTTGTAATGTGCTCTCCATTTCTCAGAGAATAGACATCGACTCGCGTTTGGTAATATTTCAATTCGTCCTTATTGATACGACCACCAGAGATTGACGGTCGACCAGCTGGGATCTCGTTTGTTTCGGACCCGGTAGAGGAGGCGTGGCCCTCATCATCGGGTACAGAACAGGGTCCATGAGTAATGACAGCAATATGGGGTCTAGATGTGGAGTTCGGGTCATTCGCCGAGGTACTCGTCAGCAACTTGGCCTCGATCACCCGACCATTCAGGCCGGTCAGCTTGCCCACCAGACGAGTCTTCTGATCTTCTATGGCAAGAATATCTAGAGCACCGTCTGTACCGACAAGAAGGACGTTGCTCCCTATCCTAGACGCCTTGAACCACTGGCTCAAAATTGTATCAAAGGCACAGAAAGAGTAGCCCCCGTCACTGATCGGCCTACTTTGTGCAGAAGACACGGGTAACTCGATATCCGGGGCGCCGTAAAAGTGGGCCTGCGGTAAATGGGGCAGGGGTATCTGGTTGTTGAATGGGCTGCTGACAGGGTTACTCTTGTGCCGGTCTGCAGACGGTTGCCTGGACGTATTGCTAGTAGAGTAACCATGTCCATAACTCAAAGGCCTTGTCCTGCTGGAAGGCGAGGCCGATGAAGGCTGGCTGAACCCGCCTTTATCATGACTTGTGAGAAAGCCAAACGGTGATCCGCTAGCAAATTCACCATCTGTCACGTCATTAGGTGGGCTTTTGCCGAAAGGGATAGACTTGGCCCAAGTATCCGTCCGGTAGGTGACATCATTTTCCGGGGAACCTCCCAGCGAGTCCAGGGCGTCGAGAACGGGGGACACAATATTGTGACTAGTCGGAGGCTCTAATGTAGGATTTGGGCAAGACGACGGCTCTGCCAGCAGAGGTGGTGAGAGTTCCTCTCTGTAGCGTAGACCACAAGGTTGGCCATTTGTTAGCTTTGTTTCATGCGGTAGAGTGACTTATGCTTGACAAGGTTGGACTTACAGGTCGCCCGGTGAGGACTTGGCCGCTGCTTTCGCCGCTTTAGCCTTGGCCTTTGATCCGCTTTTTCCTTTTTTCTTGCTCTTGCCCCCAAGTTCATGCTCCAGGTTCGAACGGTTATTATCCTCGGGAGGAATGGTGTCACCTGAGGACCGGCTCTGCTGGCGAAACAAATCGTCCGAAGCTGCCGGTGGCATTCAAATGGAGGGTTTGCCTGCTAAGAGGCAGTATGATTTCGAGAAGGTGACCGCTCTCAGAGACCTTGGCAAGGTCTGAGAACGGGTCTGACAATATGGTCGACCTGCAACGAAAATCGCGCTCAGGCCGGGTCTGGAGGGTTGTAGAGAAAGCCCTTGGGAGGCAACGCTGCGAAGGTCAACAAACGCTTATCAACATGAGTCATCGACAGACAGGAATGTTCAAGCGCTTCAGGAGACTACTTACGAAGGAACTGTATCGGATGCAAATGTACTCGAGGTCAAAGACGCGTGAGAAGCGTGTCGGGTTGTCGCAGCTGCAACGACAAGCCGCGACCAGCAAC